AAATCTAAAAATATAGTACTATCAAAACTTGAACTAGTGATTGAACTAGAATTTGCTACATGTAGAGACATATTGAGTCTAAACCAAATAGTTGTCTATTTTTGTCTCTAGGTCAATGTTTTAGTAGTTCTAGTCATATTCCGCTTCTAGTAGATGATAATGTCTTTTTTGATAAATTTTTATATTTTATTTTATCTTAGTTATTTTAATTTTTATAGACCGTGTCAAATGCAAGAGTTGGATTCTCTCTTTTCTTACAAATAGTCCCAGATGGTCGCCATATGTAAGTCCCACAAATTAATCTTAATTAGTGGATTAGTTAAAAATATAGTTTTAAGTCATTCAATTATACAAATATTAAGAGTAGAGGGTTTTTTTTTGAATATTCGAATATTTTTTATAATTTAGAAGTATTTATAAGTTACAAAAGTATTATTAGAAGAAAAGTTATAAAATAGAGTCTTACTAAGTCTTGGAGACAATTATCTTAGTTAATTTAGTATTTTTCTTATTGTTAAGTATTAAGACTTAGTTATTGAAACTAATATCTTCATTGGCTTCTATCTACATGTATTACTTATATAATCCTATCAAAGATTAGATAGTAGTTAGAAGAAGCATGAAAAAGAGCTTCATGTCTTTTTAATTAATTATATAAAAAATATGATTTTTAGTGGATTTAAATTGATTTTATTACTATAAAAAATTACCAATATAGGAAAATACAACCTCATATGGATATTAGTATTATAGAAATATTATAGGATTTTTTAGAATTTGTTTAGAATTTATTTAGAATTTTTTATGAATTTTTAGAGAAAATTTCAAGACTTTGGTAAAATTGAGTTTTATCACCTTGAGAGCCATTATGAAGAAATGAAGCAATTTTTGAAGACCTTGCAAGGTTTCTGGGATAATTGGGTGTTTTTAAACACCATGGTGAAGTCAAAAAATTTTAAAAAAGTAGTTTTACTAGTAGAAAATAGGAGGACCAGCAGCTAGTGTAGTCCTTGTAGGAAGAGAGGTGTACAATTTCCATATGCATTGTAGCACCTTGGGTATAGGTAGGAAGATAAGACTAAGGCCTCAAGGCCTCTTGAAGGGGGGGATATACACTACTTGTGAGCCTTGGTGATGCTCGAATTCCTGATTTCTTAAGTAATTTATCTTTGAGGTAAAAATTATTCACTTAACTTTTCTATTATTTACATTCTATCTTTAATCTATCATTACTTATTCATAGTAATTTGGAATTACATGATTTTTATTTCATTGGAAAGATAAAAAAATTATCTATTTAAAAATATTTTTTTAAATTTTTACTTTCACTTTTTACTGGATAAAAATCTAGTGAACGGATTGTGACTTTGTTTTGGATGTTGTGGTTACTTGATTTCATCTCTTTTACTTGTATTGTGGTTGTGCCTCCTTGGTCTTTTGCCAATTGCTTACTTCACTTCACACCACCAATTACAAGCAACTCTTAATTTAGGCCATCTTGTAATTGGGATTGAGGAGTGAAATTTACACTCTCAATATACATATTGAGTTATTTCTATTTTGTCATCTTTCTTTGAGAAAAGTTTCACTTATTTATTTGTTTTTATCAAGTTCTTGTCCTTGACATTTGTTCTTATTCCATCAAACTTTTTGAACATATTAATCCTTGCCTCCCTTGTACTTATAGAAGTAAGACTTTTCAAATTTGATTATGAGATTGATTTATTTACCTACTTCAACTATACAACTTTTTGGCATAGACATTGAACTTCTTTCATATATATAGGAATAATACCTCTGTGATTTATGTTAGAAATACATGAGATTTTTGGTCTTAGAGTGTTGACAAGCTTATGAAGATTTGTAATAGTTGCAAATTTATTGTCTCTTTTGTTGAGAGTAGCATCCTTAATCTTTCCTTCTATCAATAATTCAAATAAATTTAAAGAATTAAATTAAAGGAAGGTAATCCGTAACTTCTAATATCAAATAAAAATTTCTACAAAGAAGGATAATCCACTCTCTATAATAAAAAAATCAACATTAAAAAATTAAACTGTTTATTTAAAGATAAATAGTTTACAATCTTCAAAATACAATAATAGAAGTCAAATAATCCACTTACTTCTAAAATAAGATTCCATCAAAAAGTTTGATGGAATAAGACCAAATGTCAAGGAAAAGAACTTGAATAGGCTTTAATCTTGCTTCTATATATACTCTCTAATTAGGAGCTATGTGGCAATCTTCTATAGAACTGCCAATATATATTGACTTTACTAGATACATGTCTTAACTTGTAAGGCAAGTCATCTATATGTGCACCATATAGTTAACTTATTCCACAAGCTATCAGCACGTGTGGTATGTGGTTAATTTGTTGACCAAGTTTCTAACCTATCAATCAACTACAAATATGTCTAAAGTCAAAATTGCATCTATAAAGCTTCTAAAAAGCTTTTTTAGAAGATTTTATGAAATTAATTTGTATTCACCTACTTCTACTTAATCATATAAGTAACTATTAGAATAAATTTATATATTTAGAATATATTTGTAACAAATAAAATAATAAAAAATAAATTTTTATTAATTATTTTTTTAAAAAATCAAAAATATATTTATTATAATTTTTCAAAAATCCATTATTTCAATAATTTTTATTTTATTATACAAAAAATCATAATAAATAATTTTTAGTCTTCAACAAGTTTTAAAGATTTATAAGAGTACAATAAAAACATAATAAGTAATTATTTCAATGTGATGTATTTCTTTGATTTCTTATGGAATTATAAAATATAATTCAAAAAAACTTTGAAAAAATTGTAAAATTTATTGCATTGTGTCAAAAGATTTTAGTCATTTTGAAAAAATTGATAATATTTTTGCTTCAATTCTTCTATTTCTTAACTTGTTACTTTATAGCAAAATTTTTTATTATAATTTATAATAAGGCAATCACAATAAAAACTAAAAAACTAATAATATTAATTAAATTAAATAAGATTTGTAGAAATCAAATCAAAAAATAATATATGGATTTTTAGTAATATATAAAATAATTATTCTTTCAAATATTCTTTACAAAAAATTAATTAATTTTTTTCTTATAAAAATAATAAATTTTTTTATATTTTATTAAAAAACCTATAAAATTTATAATTAATAAACCATCAATTTATAACATCATTTTAAATTATGTTAAAAGTTAATTATTTTAATATGTTATGCAATATATTTTCTAAAATTACAGTATAAAATTTAAGCTTTTTGGATATTTTTTTCATGTTTTACAACTTTTTAAAGTGATTGTGCTCAAAGATTTAGTCTTTGTGAATATTACAACCTTCTTGTAACCACCTACATAATAATATGTAAATTTTTATTTACACTATCAAGAATAATTTTTTTTAAGGTATTATAATCTAAATCATCAGCAATCTATTATATTCTATACCTTTTTTCATTAAGATTTTATTAAGTTTTTAACATCACTTAAAAAAATTCCTAATTTTCTTGGTAATATGATAGTTTCTTTGAAAATGTTATATAACACCAAGATTAGCTGTAATACAAAAAAAAAATAGTAAATAATTAAAAAAAAATGGCATCTCTAACTTTGAACAAATCAAAGAATAAAATTCAGCCATTTTTTTTTAAATTATATAATAAAAAAAAAACCACAATTTTCTTACAAAAAATATATAGAGTGATGTTAAAAATTTGGAGTGTTGTGTATTGAATGTAAAGCAATGCAAATAGATAAAATTGAGTGCACAAAAATATAAATCGATATGTTGGACATGACATATGTTGGACTTTAGATGATACGAATGAATGGACTAGTTGGACACTAATCTTTTATGCGTACAACATTTATGTATAAAAAATGATGATGTGTAAAGATTGTCACAACATTGACAAGCATTGCAAAAAAAACAAAGTAATCAAAAAATCAAAAAATAACAAACAAACAAAGTAAACAACAAACCAAAGAAAATGCAAGTGAAGCTCTGTACACAAACCTAAACCCTAAATCCTACCTGCTGAGTGCTACTCCAACACTATAACTTGCATGCAGTGGCTAAGCAATAGTCAGTGCATAGCCAGAAACTCACGTGTGCACTCAGGAGAAGTGGAGAGTTATAAGCATTGTCTCATCACAACAGACATTGATACAACACACAAATCAGTTGACCTAAGTGCTTTGACAAAGTGCTAGAAGTTGCTGTTGGGTGTGATGTGAAAAGGTGTCCTGATACTGTAAAAGAAAGACAAAAAACAATAAAGATTCGGATGCTCATGGTACAAGATCCTGAGGTGTTGGCCGTTGGAAGAAAGGACTGCAAACTGCAAGGTGGAACATCTGTGTTGTTGTTGTAGTAGTTGTACCGCCTCGGAGCTGGGCCAGGCTAAGTCTATCCTGCAAAAACATGGAGCTTGAGAGGGACTCGGTCCCTTGACAAGGAAAGGGCTCCAACGCCCACGGTCCATTTTGTAGTTGACCCCTCCCACCCTTTGCAAACAGGTATGACTGGTGTTGACAAGAGCTTCTCAACAACTGTAGAATCCCTTCCTGGTGTCAAATAGAATTTTGGGCTCCGTGATCCACTTCACTGAGCACATGTTTTTGCTTCTGTTTGAACTCTGGAACAGGAATGTCACCTATGGCAACTCATCGGAAGTTTGCTGAGGGTGAAGCTTGGGACAAGACTGAAATGAGCTTAGATTTGCGGTTGGATGTTGCTTAGTAGGATTCGGGTCATCTGAACTGCACGTCCAGGAACTTCTACACTGTTCTTCGGTGCAAATATCTTGAACAGTATTTTTTAAGCTTCGTGTAGCATCCGATGTCACGGAACTCAACCATAAGGAGGAATCATTGACATCTTTGAAGTTAAGTAGAACACTAATCAATCCAAGTAACAATGACCTTATGCTCGTCTGCAATGTCGAGTGTGTGAGAAACGGGAGACTTTAGAGGCTGTGCAAGCAGCTTGATGGGCATGAACGTCAACTTTGAGCATAATTTAGTGCAAAAGGGGATCAGTCACTGATGATTCCTTCAAAACTATTAGGAAGCAGTGTCCCAATAGCTGGCAGCGTGTCGTCGCTGGCTCTGAAGAAAAAATTTTAAAGCTCTAAAACTATGGGTCCTGAGTGTCAAGCTATTCACAGTGGCGATGTCTCTCCCTATCTGAACATGCACTTGAGCACATGAGTCATTCCTGTTTAATGTTCAAAAGGCAGAATAGAAAATTATGCTCCAACTTCGGCAAACAATAAGGGGGATGACCTCAGTTGTAGGATAATTCCAATTCACAGATCAGACCCATTGACAAAAAAAACCCCTGCACACCTTATTCAGAACAAATGTTACAGAAGCGTTTACTGAAGTATTGATCGCAACTCGCTACGCGGTGGACATCGTAAGGTCCAGCGTCAGATCCAGCTTGACTTTCTTTGCATACGAACTCCGGGAAGCTTCATATTCTGGTTCACTGGCGGATCCAGTGGACATTGTCAAGTCCAACTTGAGACCGTCCTCCATGTGGTGACCGTGCCCCCCGCTCTGCACCCGTGGTGACAAGAAGTCAACTAAAAGAACATGTTCAGTTGCCATAGTCGTACTCCTCTGACTAATCGGCGCTGTGTGCCCAACTGACCAGGAATGTGGGCGTGACAGTGAGAGCGAACTCACAAGATCCTCTGAGGAATAACTCTGGGGAGCTGCATCGTGCTCGCGCGGGGGCAGTTTGACAAGTTGGGAAGATTTTTTGGAAACCTCGTCAGGTTGGTCGTTCGTGGAATCGCTCTGGAATCTGTTGTATATGTTGATGTAACTTGAACCTCGGTCTAGTGGCCGCGGAGCTGGACCGTCCAAAAGCTTCATGAGCTGGACATGAGAAGGCGATTCCGACAAGGTGGGGTTCGGATCCGAAGGGGTGCGTGGATTGCCGACGCGGCTCTGATCCATGAGCATCATCAAAGCAACTCGTGCGTCGTATTCTCGTCTACACACCTCCCACTCCGCCTCCAGTTGTTTCTTCGCGGAGATTAAAGTTGCGTTGTGCCGGTGACCTGCTGATGGCTGTTCGAACAGGTGGTTGCTTCTGTTGAGAGAATCTGCGGCGCTCGAGTGTAGCCAGAGGTTGTTGTGGTGCTGAAATTTTCCGGAACCACGCCAGAGGCTAAGGTCTGAATAAGGAATTAATCATCACAAAATGAGTATAACTTGCATAAAAACATCATGTCTACAATTGTTTCTAGCTGCAGCGCTCAATCGTTGAATCCTTCCTGCTTGGGGGTGTACATCATTGATCTAATGTTTTTAACAACTTGCGGTTGGAAGTCGGATCAGGACTTTAATCCGAAAGAGACAAATAAATGAATAAGCCAAGGAGCTAGTATTAAAGACACCCTGATCTAATGAAAAGGAGTGTAGACTTAAAATAGTAGATAACTTACCGCTTTGAAGACTTTCGTCGTTTTTCATGCTCCTATACATCTGAAATTCAACGAGCTCCATGTCAATAGTAATCAATGAGGTCTCTTATATGTAAATTGAAAACGGGGCTCCTATTCCTTCACAACGAAATACCACTGTTATAATACTACATGGTGCGTGGAATTTACTAACTTTCAGCGGTAACATGAACTAATACCTGGCATCTTCTACAACTAGCAAAGAACCTAAGTATAAAATAAAATCTGCGGACATTTTTAAGTTTGCAATGCAACAAACCTGTAGATGGCTTTTGACATGAGCAATAGTCAGACCCTTTACATCCATGTACTGCAGCACCATCTTGGGTGTTGCTTCTGTGTCACAAACGGTTGCGAACTATGTAAGGCAAAGATGTGAGTGAGTAAATATATAATATGGAGCAGCGAACATAAGTAAATCAGAATGAAATAATCTTGCTCAGCACTGAACTCTATTCTTAACCAGATCATTTTACTTCACATAAACGTTTCTGGGAGGGGTAGGAGTGTATTAAGCAGTAGAGAATTGAGAAAAATTCTGATTAGATTACATTTGTGAGCTCAACTGGAAACAAATGTCGATGTTCAAAAGCTGAGTAATTAACACTCAAATGTGTTATTCGGTGAGAACCTAACGACAAACTTCTCGAATTGAGCAATGTTAAAACAAATCCTTTCTGACAGGCAAAGACTGCACCGGTGAGGGGAACTCACTCTCTTGACCTCCACATCTTTCGACTGCCACGACGAAGCAGTGATGCAAGTCGGCTGTCCACCGCAGCCTGGGTAACCTCGAGCGCACGTATTGCCTAACTTTTCCTCGACTGTCAAGTCTTCGGGAACCTTTTTCAGATTGATCTGGAGCATTTGTTGTGGAGGTTGTATTGCTCTCGGAAGACAAATCATCTGATGAGGCTCCGGGGCTCGTTCGGCTTCCAGCGACCCCTTCAAAGTCTTTTTCAACCTCGTCCCCGTCGTGCGTGCTACTCTGTTTTCCCAGAAAATCCATGGGGTCACCGATGCAAGCTATTCAAGCATGCAGCAGCTTCCCTTCAGTAAAAACTAACAGTGTTGATCGCTTTTAATATCGAACAAGATTCAAAGCATGACTTGTTGTCCCACTCCTACCAGAAGCTCTTCGTTAATATTTTAGGATTCTTCACTGAACCAGATGATCTGTTTAGTTTCGGCTTCCTACCCTCCGAAGCTCTCCAGACAAATAGATATTTGAAAGGTTTTCTCCCCGTCCTTCGTCGCAACTAGTCGTGCTCGTCACTTATAAACAGTCCGGATGTCGTCCGATCTCTATGAGGAAGCGTCAGTGGGATGTGTGACTTTCATAATGATCAAGGCACAATAAAGCTTAAAGAAACCTCAGAGCCTGCTAGAGTTTATATATGCAGGGAGAGCATGCAACTGAAGTTGCGGTTTGTTTAGTGACAAGTGATGTCCATAAATCAGCATCTATATATGGAGCCCATGTATGAAGTCGGCGACGAAACTATCCAACCGAAGAAAAAGATTGCCTACCTCAAGACTTGTTTCAACTGCTACGTGCGTGGTCAAACCACGCAGCGGAAAACATTTCAACACCTTGTGGCAACTGGCTGCATACAACTTCGCCAATACTTGTGTTCCCTTCCAAGGGTGGACTTGCTGATCGCCGTGGAGAGATAAAGACCAGGTCCTGATCGATTGCTAGCTATTTTGAAACCATCCACGCGCTTGAAGCAGAAGACCTTACGATGAGCGGAGGAATAGCAGACAAGGAAAGCATTTGGCAAAGGTCCTTCCCTGACGCGCTCAGAGGGCTTCTGAACAATCTACAAGCATTTGCCTCTTTCAGTAATAAACTCTGAATGCATCCGCACGAGACAAGGTTTCAGAATTGCAATATCGCAGCAAAGTTAAGCCCCCAACATAGACATCGCCAGTTCGTCTACGATCATCACCATTAGCGATAAGGAATTGGAACTTGACAAGAAGCCGAGGAGACCCAACTGCTTATTGTCCATCCAGATTCCGTGCATCCTGCAGAAACCGACGGCAACACGCGACCCCCCGACATAGAAGTGATCGAATACTCTCTTTGTGGCAGTTTCAAGTGCCCGACAAGGAAATTCCCATGAACTAGAGAAATTAGCAACTTGTGATCACAGACTAGACAAACAGAACATTCGTCTAGCGGCGAGGGATCATGATCGCCTATGGAAAGGAATATAGGGGGGCGAAAACGTCAGACGCGCAAGAGTGTTAGCATTTGCCTGACCAGGCGATGATGCAAGCGATAGGGTGGGAGGGTGTTGGCGAAGCTTTGATCTTTCCAGGCGATGTGTTCTCGGACAGGACGGTCCGTGGAGACCCCACCAAAGGACTTTCTGAACGTCTCGTCTTTATGATGTGCACGGTCCTGGCGCCGAAGCCTGACACCATTTTGACCTGAAGCCTTCCCCCGGCCCTACCACTGCTACTTGCTTTCTTTTTTCCTCACAATCAATGCAATGGACGGCTTTCTTCTTCCTTCTTCACTGGATTCTGCAATTTACAACAACACGAATTGCAATCCAGCAGCACCACCTCACAATTTGGTCTGCGGAACCCTTGAAACAATGTCAGGGCTGCCTCAAATGGTTATTGACGACCCGGTTCCTGTAATCTTGGCGTGCATCTTCCGTCGTAGGAACAAAGAATCATGAATTGAAATTTAGTGCTTCGATGAGGATGAGATGAATCTCTCGATCAGATACCTAGTTCTTATCAAAACCCGATTACGACATTATCGATCCAAATCTCCAGTCTCCAATGAGAACTAGCATGTCTGCCACGCTTAAGTTAGTAATGTGCACAGATCACGCTGGACAGAACCAACCTTCACCTCCCAACTGGGTATGATTGGAGAACATTCACTTAATGTTGACACGCTTCAGACAGCATTCCAATTTGGAAACTCCATATCCTGGGAGCTTCATCCTTCTAAAGTCCGTGCTTGTATAATTTAGAGAAATTTTTCTTCAATCTTTCGTCTCACAAATGATGCAATGATACCAATGGAGAGGACAGAAATTTCACAAACATGTGTCGTTTATAATACAGTTCTCTCCTATTGTTGGAAGCCCACAGGAAAGTATTAGGAATCTAATCCGCGCTTCTTATGGCAGAATCCGTCGTTCTCTCCTGTTGCATTCCATGTTCGAATTTCCCCTTCCCATATCATTCACCCAGGGGACATTATTCGGGGATCTGTAGCAGCTTGTTCGAGCATCATCACTATTCCCTCTCCTTCGCATCCAATTTCCGGGTTGCTTTCTGATTGCCCGGGCCCATCACAGCGCGCGCTTTTCCCTAATTTTATGGCACATTTGATTCTCTTTGCACTCTACCAAAATAATAACCAATTGTTGATGTTCCACTGCCCGTGTTTCCTCTGCTCCTCCCCCCTCGGATTAAATTACTCCCCCCTGTCCCTTCTTTTCAATTTTTTTCAGTTCTCGTGGGGTAGTTGTGTCACGTGTCTTTCCCTTACCTGCAAAGTGATCTTTCATATTATTTTTTTGTCTTTCAGTTATTTCCTTTTGATGTGGAGATTCTTTTTTCCAGTTTGGAGTCACAACTTGTTGAGTGATGCCTTAAAAGAAAGAAAAATAAAAAAATATCGGCGTGGACGCAATATGTCACCTAACTTATATTTGCAAAGTGCTGGGGTATGGTTGCACCAGCACTGAGGGAGCTGGAAGGGTAGTAATCGACTGTTGAGGCAAGCTGGGAACACAGACCAGTGACCAACCCGTAGGATGGAGCACGTACAAGCGGAGTAGGACACCAAGAGAATCCTGCTCAACCATCCTCCCCCCTCGCATCATTAATGGGAAAGAGCCTGGTGCTTCCAGCCCAGATCGATTGGACCGCACGCCCTGTATATACGCCGCATGTTGGGAGTCGCGTAGGACAGCCAACCTTACTGCATCATTACGTGATCATTACCACTTTAATTCCAACGCCACGACATTCTCTCCGTCTCCACCGTGGCGACAATTTTTTCACACTCCTATCCTACTACTTTTTACCAGTACTGTGACAAATGTATCAGACGATTCTCATCTCTTCGGACTTGTCTAACACTATCTCTGATCCATCATCGAAGTGAAGAAACTTTGCCAGTGGACCCATCAGATCCTCACTTTCTCTGAAATGTGTGTGGAGGATCTTAGCTTCCTGGCAAGCGCATCCATTTTACATTCTACTTTCGTGCGCATGAGGAATGAGGTAGCTAGTCACTAGACAGTTGATCATGTAATCACAGTTGTAAGTTTTCTTCCCATACAAACCTGATCAGGCTGACGTAACTGTCCTTTCGTACTACCCCAGTCCCAACACGGAACAATCGGCAGATATGGAGAAAAGATGAACAGGGTGATTGACGGTCAGTTGGAATCAGATTGCACCGAGGTGGAAAAGGAAGCCTGAGGAAGCAAGAGGGGACCTTTTGGACAGATCTTTGCAGCCGGGCGGGACTGAGAACCCCCGTGCACATCGAAGCTTCCGCATCGCTGCTTCGGTGGTGACTTTGAAGGGCGCAGATTCCAAATATGCCCGTGGCTGACAGGAATTTCTTAGCATGTTTCTCAAATCTTCACCTGCACAAAATCCTGCTAAATTTAGCACCTTCAGGAGTTTAATTTAGGACGAGGTGACTGCCAATTATATTTAATAATTGTAGAACTTGGTGAAGTAATTATTTCCGTGCTATCATCCATCAAGCTGGAGGAAACAGCCAATTTGAGAGGCCTAAATCCAAGAAACTTGGCAGGGAGATTGGTGTTATATTTACAAGGTTTATATTAAGAACCAAGAACAAATGTGCAGGATTAAATTTTAATGTACCGTTTATAGGTTTGTACGCACCTAAGACAAGGTTTAATTTGGCTTCAAGGTCAATCCTTCAAAGTCAATACCAGAAGGAATTGGACGGAAACACATGTGGATTCAAATGGGAAAATGTGGTTATCACAACTAATTGGAACTTTCCGAAAGTCTTGTCTAATTTTTTTCTACACATAGAAACTGTACTATCGTTTCTAACTGGATATTGAATGAATACTTTGAATATTGACCTTGACTAAGATTGCACTAAGTTCTGATTATCGTGATTTTTTTGCTGCTAGTGAAGTCAACTCTCTTTGTTCTCACACCAACCAAAACATAAAGTCTTTCTTTCAAATAATACCATTGCTTCAACTTTACTTAGAGAAGGCTCCTGGTGAAAAGCCGTATTTTGTGTCTCATGTTTTGGCATCTGCTTTGTCAGTACATTGTGACGCTTCTGGAGTGCTGATGACGCAATAGTAGAAAAACAATGTTTTGCACAATTGAATACGCATTTTCGAAGAGACTGTTGTGCATGGACGAATTTTCCCCAATCCGCATTGCACTTCAGAAAATCCAAACAGAGTATGCGTCAAATGCTTTCAGCTCTATTCTCTTGTCTCTCTACTAATTTTCGCCGGTAGTAGAGCTACACGTGTTCAACTGGGAAGGGTAACTTACGAGTCATTTGCGGAAAAAAAAAAAAAAAAAAAAAAAAAACCCTTCTCTGTGAGCTGTGAGTGGAGGAACAACTCAATTCACCCATCCAATTCACAAATATTTTACTTTTCTGTACATTATTTGTTTCTGCCAGGGATACAGGCTGCACCTTCACTGATCTCTATGAAAACGCTTTACCTGCCTATTGAAGATGTGGTGAACTTCGAACCAAAATATGGCTGGGACTGTGAGGGACCCAAATTTGCCTCGCTCCCCGAGTACGACAAGAGGGGATGCATCATATCTTGCAACGATGGCGAAGCCAGCTACCTGCAAAGCTATGAGTTGTCGACGTTAAGACGCTGCACAGATGAATGAGTGCATTGACACTGCATCAACGTGCTGCTTGACGTGCCATGTCCGGTGGTGAGGGATACAGCCTCGCTTAACTTATATTAGGCAGGGAGTATGGCACCGACTTGGGTCTATGCTTTGCTTGAATCATCAGCGTAGAGGTGATACTTATTATAATCGTGGCAGTTATGATGCTGCCAATCAAACATGGCACGCCATAACCCACTCCTGTTGCAATTCAAAGTTTAGCTGTGAATGATTGCTGTCGACTGTTGAATGTCATCGGCAGTGAACGATCGATGACAGAAGGCTTTGGCAGACAAAGTTTACGTCTAACTTGTACCTGGAATTTGGGTGTTTTATTTCGAAGGGGAAATTTCTCCTCGATCCCTGGCTAACACGCAAGTCCGATTCCGCTGCAGTTCGCTCCGGTCGGTGCATGATTGAGATTCCGCTTGTGGTCCATCTTGCCAAGCTGTAGCTTGGATGTTACAGCAAACAGGGACGTCTGAATCCTACGGTAAGTACTGCTACTGAAACCCTATTCTGTGTCTAGACTCGGATTTACTTACTCGTGCACCTCCTCTTTTCATGCTTCCTGGTATACACCTCTCTACCTACAACTTCGTTGCTGATGGGTAGCTTTAGGTTTTGCTTCCAAATTGCAGCTGATTGTAATAAAAATCACACTGACCCACATCTGATGTAATAAGAAGAATCAGACAAGTGTTCATAAAACCTCTTGATTTGAAATCTACGCTGGTCCCAAGTGGTGTACCCCGCGACTAGATATTTGAGGACCGGCCTAGATTTCAGAGCGACGCTTGCACATCGTCTCTTCCCTGTGAAATGATGCTTCAATGACATCACATCTCCGGTACTGACCAAAATCCCTGCGGCAAGAATCGTTTCACCTCAAGGCTTCCATGGCTGTTCAGTAACACCCCCCCCCCCGCACCCCCTCTGTAGAGTCCGCAGCCTCTCACAGCAAGTCGTACCATGGAGTTAAGAAGATAGTCAGTTTCAGGGTCCCTATTTCATGTGCGTGGAAAGCCTGCATATGAGCAGCAAGAAGATGCGGTTAGATTTCCAGTCTATTCAGCTTTTGTACCACGGGGTACGGAGTGAGATCTTGCGGTGATTCATAGATATGTCTGAGTATGGCTTGAGTGAGGATCAAGTTTTTTGTTAGAATTGTAGGAATCTGGTGCTGCACCACAAGTACAAACCATCCATTAAACAGAGTACTGAGATCGATGTCAACTGTTTTTAGATGCTGTACGCATTTGTACCTCGTCCTTACAGCTTGATGAGTGCGTTGGAATCCTATTCTCATTTTTGGTAGAAAACATGCAGATGATGATCAATACAAACCCCACCAGGTGACACAGTACAGCATACTGCACACAGCTTTCCCCCCTGGTCATCACTCTTCAATAATAATGCTGTCTCAA